TTCTCCATGAATTTGTCTAACCCCATTGCATTCTACTGCTTAACTATGAATCTTTTTATTGCTATTGATTCTTCAAATTTAACTTCAAATGATGAACCTGATTTTAATTCAGCTTTCATACCTTAAGTATTTGTTTTCGGATATTTCCATGCATGGAATTTGTTTTTCTACAGTGTTTATGCTAGATATTTTATTTGCACTCTCTGTACAGTTCATAAATCTCTGTCAAAGCCTATTAATGGGAAACAAATTTCTGATTGCTTCGGTGTGATTCTCTACACTGATGCAACCAGGCTAAAGAGATCCTTTTGTAAATCTTCACAATCTTTTATTTTAATTTAACTACTGAATAATTAAGTATCAGCAAACCTGGTCCATCCACTGCCTATTTTGCGCTGTGTCACTTACAGATGAGTTAAGAAGAATCACTGTTTAAAATAGGTTAAAACTACCTATTCCCTACTCTGATTCCTGTTCTTTCTCCAATAGTTAATCTAAAGAATGAAATATTAATCCAAGCTCAGTTTAGTATAAACACGTACACTACATACACTTATTTGGAATGACAAGCCCAAAGCCACCCAGCTGGCTTTGTGCCTAAGGCAGAAATAGAACTCATGTCTCCCAGTTTCTAGTATGATGCCTTAACCACTACACCAAACTGGCCCTCAGTTTTAAGGATTACCCTTCTTCTATCATAATGCATTATATAAAATCAGTATTTGCAACAGAGTGCCCACTTGACAGGGAGCTCAAGCCCATTCTATCTCTCTGAAGCAATCTGCACATTTTGCATTAATTAAAAATGAATACTAAAGTTCTTTTAAATATTTACATAAAACCTTAATCAACAGTACACATAGATTTATATATGCATGCAAATCCAGAAAGTAACCATTTTATTCATAAAGTAAGAAACTTCCTTTGATACGTCAACACCTATCCCACTTGTCAAATCTATATAGAAACTTTTTAAACTGCATATAGACAATGGTTATCTGTACATCATGCTAACCCTAAACTATAGCTATGAGAAAGGAAGAAAAACTATCCACATTTTCAATACCATGCATTATTCTATATTTCTATATTTCCTTGCATATCTTAGCCACAAGTTAACAGGTCCAGGTGCTTTAATCTTTCCTTATATGGAAGCAGTTCTAGTCCTCTAGTGATTTTGTTTGCCCTTTCCAGCTGAACACTATCTCCTTTCAGAAATGATGACCAGAGCTACATACAGTACTCCAAGTATAGTCTCACTACAGATTTATGTTAGACCACCCTTTGAGTTTCAATTCCCTTCCTAATGAATCAAAGCATGACATTTAACTTTTTACAAAAGATATACACAAGTTTGACATTTTCATTGACCTATCCCATAATTCTGAGATCCATTTCCTGTTTGGCCACTGCCAGTAAAAAATTTAGTAATGAATCTGTGAAATTTTGAACATTGGAAGCTATCCTGCATCATACTGCATTACCCACAGTGAATCACATCTTCTATTTTCAGTCCCCTGCTTCCAATTTACAGAGATCCTCTTAAATCTCTTTGCAATTCCTTTATTTTATTACCCTGAAAGGCATGGAATGATAACTAGAGATCTCCCTACTCATAACTTTGTATCCTTTCTAGACAATTTAAGTTGGTCACAAATTGTTTTACCATCTTTACACATTCTGCCAATTTGAGCTCCGGGCTTCTAATTCCTTAAGTCTGTTTCTGACCCATGAAAGCATACTCTTTTCCCACCCAATCATCTGTGAAGTACCAACTTCAAATAAATACATGTAACATCTCTATGCCCCCTAACTCTTTTGGATGCCCTTCTGAATAGAACAGCACCCTTGGAAACAGCCGTGTTTTTGGCTTAAAGTGCATCTCTACAAATCTAAACAATATTTGGCTTCTTAAACGGCAATAGGATCATATTACCATATGTGGTGGGAATGCCCAAAGACTAGCGAGTACTGGAACAGGACACGAAACTGGCTGAGGGATATACTAACACTGGACTTAGAGTCAAAACCTGAACTCTTCTTGCTGGGAATAACGACAGAAAAATATGATAAGGGAACAATCTACCTGCTGCTACATATCTTGACAGCAGCCAGGCTTGCCTTTGCGCAAAAATGGAAGAGTAAGGAAATTCCCACAGAGGAAGAGTTAATACATAAAATATTAGCATGTGCAGAAATGGACAGGCTCACAATGATACTAAAAGATAAATGTGGATCAATTTTTTTTGAAACCTGGGATAAATTTTACCGCTGGAGGAATTTGAAAAGGACGGCTGGGATTAAAGACGAATGTTAAGATAGAAATGTATGTTACCTTAGAATAGATAATGTATATAAAATTTAATGTATATGTAGAGATAATGAATTGATTGTAAAATATGGTATAGTCTGATAAGAATGTATATACTGGAATGTCACGTCAAATCCAATGTTTTTTTTAATTGTTTTATAAATAAAAAGTTTTAAAAAAAATAAAAATATTTGGCTTCTTGATGCTCTCTGGACTGGCTTGGTTGTTTTTTTGCAGATAAGATAAACACAAGCACATTTAAGAAACAACAGCAGTTTAATCCCGAACTCCAAGTATTCCCTTCTACTGGAATCCAAATAATGATTCCACGGCTGGCGGGGAATTCTGGGAGTTGGAGTCCGCCGGTCTTAAAAGCGCCATTGCGATTAAGCAAAGCATGGCTTTTAAACCACGCATCGCTCAGCTTGCAACGTGGCCCGCCTTCCTGCTTCCCACGAACCCCGGCTCCCTTCCAGCTACCCGGGAGGATACGTGCAAGGGACGAAGGCGTTCAAGGACCGGCGGCCAAGTCCCCGCGGCGGGGCACTTTCCGATAAGCCCTTCCTCCAGCATGGAGCAGTCGCGGAGAGATCGCCTCCAGCAGCACCAGCAGCTGCAGCGACTTCCGCGGACGCCCTACCCAAAGCCGGGCTGCTGCGCTCTGCCGCCACCGCTGTCGCCGGCCTCCAGGAGCTGGGGTAGTAGCCGCCGCCGCCGCCGCCACCGCCGCCAAGCTCCATCCACCCTTAGCCTTTCGCCGCCATCCTTTTCTCCGCCCGACACAGGCCCAGTCACTCGCCCCGGCGCGCGGTGGGTCTGACAGGGCTCGGGCGCTCGCGTTCCGGGCTCCTCCGACCACCCGCAGCGAGCCCCCGCGAGCCCCACTTGTCGCCTCGGAAGCACCCAGAGAAGCCCCTCAGGGGGATCCAGAGACGGCCGCCATCTTAGCAACCGGCAACGCCGCTTTCGTCGCCACGGCAACCGAGCTCCGGCGCTGAAGGGGAGGAGCTTCGGAGAGGGAGGGAGAAGGCAAAAGGGACATCGCCCAAGCCGGGCTTTCTCGCTTGACGGAGATTCCAACTCCCAGAATTCCCTGCCTCATCCGAAGGGGGTGGTGAATTGAAGCAGGCGCGGTTCTTCTTTCTCGGCCCCTCCCTCGTGTTCCCCCTCCCCCCGCCCCTCCCCCTCGGGGCTTTCTGTCACTATTCAGCAATGCTCTGGTTATTTTGGGAGGGTGACTTCAAAGATGATCAGGGAACTGGAGGCTAAAACATATAAGGAACGGCTGCTGGAATTGGGTATGTCTAGTTTAATGAAGAGAAGGACAAGGGGGGGGGACATGATAGCAGTGTTCCAATATCTCAGGGGCTGCCACAAAGAAGAGGGAGTCAAGCTATTCTCCAAGGCGCCTGAAGGCAGGACGAGAAGCAACGGATGGAAACTAATCAAAGAGAAAAGCAACCTAGAACTAAGGAGAAATTTCCTGACAGTTAGAACAATCAGTGGAACAACCTGCCTCCAGAAGCTGTGAATGCTCCAACACTGGAAGTTTTTAAGAAGAGACTGGACAGCCGTTTGTCTGAAATGGTATAGGGTTTCTTGCCTGAGCAGGGGGTTGGACTAGAAGACCTCCAAGATCCCTTCCAACTCTGTTATTCTATTCTAAGTCAGTTTTTGATTCTTGGTGTCTGCCTGGACAAGTTCCTGCAAGGTTGTTTTTTTTTTGCAAGATCTTCGAAGTGCATGCCATTGCCTGCTTCCAAGGGCTGAGAGAGACGGACTGGCCCAAGGTCACTCAATTGGCTTTATGCGCGGTGGAACTAAAACTCCCAGTCTCCCAGTTTTTGATCTTGTTCCTTAATTGCTGCACCAAATTGGCTGGTCATTATCCTTTACCTAATGTGCACTTTGAATTTTTTCTGGTGATCAAAATAACAGTTATGTTATGATTTTGTATGTGATGCAAATTTTAATAGATTTTTGTGTTATGATAAAGACTGGTGCAAGATCAGTATTAATTTGTGCCGTTGAGTCAGCCTTGATTACTTGTGATTACAAAGACAAATCCCTACAGTTTTCTTGGCAGGTTTTTGGGATGTCGTTTATCATTGCTTCTTTCTAGGAGTGGAGATGAAGACTTGTTCAAAGTTATCCAGCTGGATTCATGGCTAAGGCAGGACTAGAATTCAGATTCCTTTGCTCAAAGTCCACACCTTAACCACTAAACCAAAGTAGTCTTCAGCAAAAGAAAGCAAAGATACTACCAATAGTAATTCCATCTGTTGCTTCTTGTCCTGCCTTCAGGTGCTTTGGAGAATAGCTTGACTCCCTCTTCTTTGTGGCAGCCCCTGAGATATTGAAACACTGCTATCATGTCTCCCCTCGTCCTTCTCTTCATTAAACTAGATGTACCCAATTCCAGCAACGGTTCCTTACATGTTTTAGCCTCCAGTCCCCTAATCTTTGTTGCTCTTCTCTGTACTCTTTCTAGAGTCTTGACATCTTTTTTACATTGTGATGACCTAACATCAAGTTTATATAAGGTTATGAAGTCTGGACGTGAAAGGGCTGGCTTTTGGGCTAAACACATTCCTGAATTCTTAATTCAAGACTCCATTGGCCAGTAGATAGCCTTTTTTTCCAGGCAATTTGAAACCGTTTGAAAAATGTTTGTTCTTCCAACTCAGACATGATCTACCCTAATAGATCCACCTCACTGATCTTCCTAAATATTATATTTTTCATTTGGACTGATTCGATAGTTCATAGTGTCGCACCATGTTCTGCAATGGTAAGGTTTGTGTTGTATTCCTTGATAAATGATAGAACCATAGACCGCTTTTAAATGGCATTGTTTATTTCACCCCAAACCACTTCAATTGTTTTGAAAGATTTCTGTTAAAGCTGTATTGGAGCAATTAGCAACAGCAACTGTGCTTGCTTTTTCCTGTTGATTCTGTTCAGCCTTGTTGAAACTAAGAATTTTGACATTAACTTCTGCAAAGGCAGGGAAAGTTACCAGATCATTAATAAAAGTAAAACATAGAAACATGTCTTGATAAATTATATGGGAGTGTTGCAATCTTTTAGTCTGGTTCCTAGATGTATCTGGAAATAAGTGCTTGTTCTTTTTTCTTTTTTATATAATTTTTTTATTTTTATTTTTTCAAACAGACAAAATACACAATACACAATACATTTTCCCTTTCCCTTAACAATACTATGTCCTATATCTCTTACATTTATTAACAATTATTTACATTACTTCTCTTACTTTTTTATTCCTCAATTCTAACCAACTATAATACATGTCCCATACCTCGTAAAATTCAGTAACTTCTTTGTCTTTCATTTCTAAGGTTAGTTTGTTCATCTCTGCACAGTCTAAATCTTTCCTATAATCTTTGCATTTGTTGGTATGTTTTCACTTTTCCAGTGTTGCGCATATGTAATACGTGCAGCCGTTATAATATGTATATTGATGTATTGGAGTCATTTTTCAATTTTTGGATTAATTATACCTAATAAAAATATTTCGGGCTTGAATTCAATTTGTTGTTTTGTTATTTCCAGTAACTTGTTCTATTGCATATTTTTATATTAACAAAAGGGGGGAAGTTGGGGTTTTTTTGTAATTCTTTTTGTTTATTATAATTTTATCTGGAGACTCAAACTGGATTTGAAAAAAGTTCTAGATTTTTTTTAAAGACAAATTTACTTTTTGCTTTTAAGTGTGGATTTTATTTTTCACTCTGTTTTAAATGACTAAAAGTTCTGGAAATTCTTTTTTTTAATTCTTTTTTTTCCTGTCAAAGGATTAGGTTTAGGTGAAAGAGATTTAATTAGTTTATTCTCAGTTTATCTATCCCTTAGAGTGTCTAATTTCAGCCTTTGCCCATTACATTTTGTTATTCTTTTAGGGAATGTGCTTCATATGATGTTCTGGCATGATATTATTGGCCTCAGAAACTGAAGATACAATGATGAATTTCTATAGAAACAACAAACAAAATATTACATGAACACCCCACAGATATTTAGTGAAAGTCTATTCCGTTGCATTCAGTGGAGTTTTAATCTGTACTAAATGCATTCAAGAATTTTCCAAATGCAAATTAAGTTAAAGGGAATTCTACAATGAGTATCACTTACTACAAACTGTTCTAAGAGAATATGTGTTTATATGATAAAATGGCCCAGTAGAAATATTTAAATAACCAAAGCATTTTTAAACCCTAGTTTCAAAAAATAGTTCAATATATTATCCTTTACTCTAAAAAGAAATGTTTAAAGGGTTATCACAAACATTTGACTTCAAATTTGATGTAGAAACTCTTCCAAAAAGGTATCTTTATATCCCAGAATAGCTTTCTCTAAGCTTTTTTACTTTATTTTTTTTTAAATCCAGCCTTTTATTATTTTTATAAATAACTCTAAGTGGCAAACATACCTAATACTCCTTCTTCCTCCTCTTTTCCTCACAACAGCAATTTTGTGATATTAGTTGGGCTGACAAAGAGTGACTGGCCCCAAGTCCCCCAGACAGATTTCATGCCTAAGGCAGGACTAGAACTCACACTCTCCTGGTTTCTAACCCAGTGCCTTAACCACTAGATCAAACTGACTCTTTCCAGATATCTTAAAAATTTAGTATTTGAAATGTCCCAGCTACTATGTTGCCTGGGAATTCTGGGAATGGCAGCCCAAAAACATCTGGAAGGTGCCAAGCAGTGGTGGGATTCAAATACCTAAACAACCGGTTCTCTTATTGGATGCACGCCCGGGCCTCCAAGGCCTAGAACGGACTTCCGGAAGTGGCATCCATGCACTTCCAGCGGGCCATTCTAGGCCTGGGAGGTCTCCTCCAGGCCTCCCAGGCCTAGAATGGACTTCCGGAAGCAGTGTACATTCAGCTGGTTCTCCGAACTCAGCAAAATTTAGCTACCGGTTCTGCTGAACTGGTGCAAACCAGCTAAATCCCATCACTGGTGCCAAGTTTATGTGTGCGAAGTTGTATCCAAAGCATGTATTCTGCACACACCTACCAGTTTGATGCATGAATAGCAATAGCACTTAGACGACTTATATACCTTTTCATAGTTCTATATGAAATGGCATATTGGCTTGCAAAATACCTTGCAGATTAGAGAACTTGGCTTGCAGAGAACACTGAGTATACTTGAGATTAAAATGGGGTTTGGTTTTGCTCATAGTTCACTACGACAGGATGATTGGCACTGTTCTTATCATGTATAAGAATGCTTCATATGGCAAGGATGTGGCTTGCCATATGATATTGTACCTGTCTTTTCTGTCTTCACATAAAAAATATGTGGAGGCTTTAATTAACTAAAGGTAGGATGGGTGGCACAGGTCAGTGTTTATGGAGTATCCAGTAATGCAATAGCATCTGGAAGATTGTGATTTAAGAGGTGTCATTGGTAAACATCATGTGTGAAGCAAAGTGAAAAAGAGGAGGGAAAGGAAGACATGCGTGTATGTGAAACTAAGAGAAAAGGGAAAGATGTAATTGATCTGAATGAAGGCGGTCTGATCTTGGGAAACTTACAAATCTTGTATAAAAAATTATATGGATGATATGAATGGAAGTAAAAAAAAGGGCATTTGAAACAAGGAAAATAGTCATTCTCTCAGTTCTGAAAATGCAAAGGCTTCTAATTTCTGCTGTGTTTATTTGTTTGTATGATGTTAGACACTTTGGTCCCATATACAGCAGAAATTAAAGAATATTTTTAAGAAATAAAGTTTTGTTTGATTTAATGTTACAGGGCAATTCTACAGCAACTGTAGCGGTGGAGCCCACCGGTCGAGTAACAAAAAATCTGTCCACGGACAATTTAGAGACGAAAAAGAGTCATGCATCCTGTGATTCTCAAGCTAAACTATTAAGGGAAGGAAAACACTACATGTGTCGTATGTATATTTTTATTTTAACAACTCTTTCCTATGATTTGTTATTTGAACCCAAACAACCTGTATAATATTTCAGGAGTCTGCAAACCATCAATTCAAATCTCTGACAAGATGTTTATAGCCTATATGTTATAGGTTACTGTATATGTTATATAGGCTACTGCTATAAGCCTATATGTTATAGGCCAAGGGTCCTCAACCTTGGCAACTTTAAGACTTGTGGACTTCAAGTCCCAGAATTCCTCAGCTGGCAAAGCCAGCTGAGAAATTCTGGAAGTTGAAGTCCACAAATCTTAAAAGTTGCCAAGGTTGAGGACCCCGATAGGCCATTGCTAATTGATCAATTGATGGCTTATCGATTTCTTCTTATGCATGCCATATCCATCACTGTCATGGTCCCTTGTATAGATTATTTCCCACAATATGGAATTCTTCACATTAAGAAATAAAATATTGCTTTCTCTCATACAGTATGTTCCTATCTGCATGCTAGATTTCTCCTCAAGGGCCTATTCATACTGGTATTTGGCAGTACACTACTTGTGAACTGGTCTTTTCAGAGAAAGACACTTGATAGTTCTTTTTTTACCATGGTGATGAAATAAATGTCATTTTCCAGATCAGTTCATTCTGTTGGAATTCTAATTTGTTTCAAAGTGTTTTACATCTAGTAACCCTGACATTTATAAGCATATATACTGAAGTATTTGGCTTGTTAACTCAATATTATCTATATCTGACAGATGGTTTTCCTTTCCTGCCAGTTATTATTTTTGTAAAAACTGGAGCTTTCATTACAGTTCTTTTCAATTAAAAAAAATCAAATTCTGTTTAAAAAGGTTTTGTACAAACAAACCCATTTAATATGGTTAACAAAAGAAAAATTGTAAACAAAATTTTGCATTGCCTCTCTTAATTATACAATGCATTCTCTTAATTACTGTAACATAGCTGGAAATCTATATGTTTAAAGGGAATTTGCAGAATTCTCTAATTGAATATGCAAGAAGTACTAAGAAAATGATACGGAACATGATGGATGATCACCAGTCTTCTCTAGATTATCTCTCCGATCAGGTACTGGCCAATATTTGCTAAATGGATTTCTTTTTGGGCAACGATAATATAATTGAACTGTTTACAATTAAAATAAAAAAAATTCTAATTAACAGATAAATTGGGCAATTTCTCCAAAAACAGTTTGTTATATTGTTGTGAAAAAAAATATTGTTCTATCTTATAATGTCTGAAAAAACATAATTCCACCCTTGAAAGGCTTTGAAAAAGCCAATCACATCACTGAAAATCTAGATAAGAGTCTTGAAATTTCTTAAGAATTCTTCAGGTTGACCAGAAATAGTTAGACATTTTGATTTTTTTTAAAGTACAGATATGATCTATACAAGAAAATATTAGGTGTAATTTATTTAATCAGCCCTAATTTAGGTTATTATTAATTTAGGTTATTAAGTGATTGGAGAATCAATGTATGCCAAAATTTAAGACTGGTCACAAAGGACATGAGTCTCATGAGGCAAGCAAGTTTTCAAAAACCCAAATTGCCAACATATAGGTGTCCTCGACTTACAACAGTTCATTTAGTGACCGTTCAGAGTTACAACGGCGCTGAAAAAAATGAACATTTTTCACACTTGCAACGGTTGCAGCCTCCTGATGGTCGTGTGATCAAAATTCAGTGTGATCAACTGACTCGTATTTATGACGATTGCAGTGTCCCAGGGTCACCTTTTGCGACCTTCTAACAAGCAAAGTCAGTGGAGAAGCCAGATTCTCTTAACAACCCTGTTAGTAATTTAGCAACTGCAGTGGTTCACTTAACAACTGTGGCAATAAAGATTGTAAAATGAGGGCAAAATTCACTTAGCAACAGAAATTTTTGGCTCAATAGTAGTCATAAGTCGAGGACTATCTGTAATGAGGATTCAGGTAGAACAGGAAGTGATACAAGAAAAGGAAGACTTGAAACATATTAATTGCTGTTGTCCTTCATAGAACTCCACTCTTGTACAGGCTGTCAGAGCAGGCTGAAAGAAAACTTTCAGAGGCAATAACAGTAGCACTTATATACTACTTCACAGTGCTGAGCGGTTTACAGAGTCAGCGTGTTGCCCCCAACAATCTGGGTCCTCATTTTACCGACCTTGGAAGGATGAAAGGCTGAGTCAACCTTTAGCCAGTCAGGATCGAACCGTGGGCAGTCGGCAGAATTAGCCTGCAATACTGCATTCTAACCACTGTGCTACCATGGCTGAATGGAACTTCCTAATGGAAGTTTCCCTCAGAACAAAGAGGAACTTTAGGGAACAGCCTCTTCTGCAGACGCAATTCCAACCTGCCACCGGCCCTCCCCAAGACGTTTCGATTTTCAAAAAAGTTAGCATTCCTGACCAAATTGCACACATGCAGTTATCTGTGGAAAAAAGAACAACCAGAAAAACAGGAGAAAGATAAAGCAAACCATTGTGATCTGTGGATCTTTTTTTTATTATCTCCAACGATGGAGCCCCTTTACTACTTCAAAATCTTCTTTTCAATAGAATAAGTAGGGACTCCTGACTGGAAAATAGCACTCAAATTCTTGCATGCAAGTCCTTTGGTTTCTCATGGCATTCCCCTGGATTGTGGTGCACATCTGTATATCTGAACATGCCAACTTTTGTTGCAAAGACATGATTGGAAAATTCCTGTCTCAACTATTTTCTTGAGCCAATGAAATGCAAAGAAAGTTCTAAAACACAGTGCCTTAAGGTGCTGCTTTTAAATATTTAGCTTTTAAAAATCTTGGAACTGACTTTTTATGCTCAAGAAGTAGAGAAAAATGATTTTTGTGGGGTTACCCTAACCAGTCTTCCAGATCCATAACAATGCATTGCTCAGAATCAAGACCCTTTTTGTGCAATAGAGTTTTCCTCCAATAAATTAATTGCAGCACAGGAATTATTTAATTTCAATTGGCTCACATCCAGTGTTAGCATTACAAAGCAATGGCCAAAAGAATATACTATTGAGTACCTCCACATGTTGAAGATTTTTAAACATTTCTCTTTTTGCATATGCAGATTAATGAACTTATGAGCCGAGTTATGCAATTAAATACAGACATGTCCAGAAAACCGATTGATGTATTTCCCCATCGAGCAGTCCAGTCTCATGGTAAAGGGCTTTTTAAAATTCCTGCTTAGATTTTACGGTATTTACTGTAATACATATTGAACTATAAGACAGCATGTTTCTACCATAAAAGAGATACATCCGATAGAGTGTCTTTTACTGTATTAATGTTTTTAAAGTTTGATTGTTGGGAAAGTCAAACAGTTTTTATTACTGTTTTTGAAGTTTGTTTCATTCTGAATAGGTCACAAATGCCTGCTCACTATCTGGAATACAGTAAGAATTTATGGGTCAAATCACCTATAGCTAATTTTGGAAAAGGGAGCAGAGTAAGATGATTATTAACCTTTTAGAGACCGAGTGCCGAAAAAAGTCTCTTATGGGGCCACATGCACCCTGCAGGCTGCAGGTTCGACATGCCTGATTTAGAGCTTTGATAACATTATTTTTTTATAATGAAACAAATCCAGACTAAAATCTTGAATGCAGGAGTCAGAACAGTTACAGAACTTCTTGGGTTCTGAAGATTTCCACCTATCATAACTAGCCAGAATTCTTTTAACTTGGGGAGAAAAGAATAGTTCTGTCAGTGGAAAGATCTATTGTACAGGGAAATCCATGTTGAAGAGTTGCAATATTGAACAAATAACTGGCATGAAAAAGGATCTCTTTTATTTAACTAAAACATCCCTTGTAATATTGTCCTGTAGGTTTAGATTGCAGTGATATTAAAGATACCATTGGCTCAGTTACAAAAACTCCAACCGGTTTATATATAATCCATCCAGAAGGAGCAAGTTATCCCTTTGAGGTAATATTGATTTTTCATATTTACTATTTGCTTGAATTTTCTTTTTCCTTAGTACAGCTTATCCACAGGAAACCTGACCTAGGTTGATTCAATTAATCCCGTGTTCTGGCTTCTCAGAATGCTAGACAAGTTCACACAGCTCACAGGCTGAGTTCACACAACTCACTAGGCCAGTGATGGTGAACCTTTTAGAGACCGAGTGCCCCAAAACTGGCCCCGGCCCCGCTCTGCCCCCCATCCCCTGCCCTGCCTGCCCACAGGACCACTCACCGCCTTCAGGGCCTGCTGCAGATCGCCCAGGCAGCCCAGCAGCGCTATGGTGGCCACACCCTCTGCCCGCGCCCTGCAGCATCAACTGCATGATGGGGTGTGAGGGCAGAGTCTTGTCTACGCTGCCTGGCTGCCATGTCCTTAGCTGCGTTGCTCCGTGTGGGCCACGCTCGAGGGCGACTCTCCTTCAGGGGGGCTGCTGGAGAGGAGGGGGTCATGGGGGGAGGCAAGGCTGGGGCAACGGCACGTGTGCCCACAGAGAGGGCTCTGAGTGCTGCCTCTGGCACCCATGCCATAGGTTCGCCACCACTGCACTAGGCTAAAAAGGGTTTAGCCATAAAAAGCTCTGATAACATTCAGTGGCAAAGTTAGGCAAAATTTTGGAAAATCCCCAAAAGAAAAACATTATTTTGTATGGAACTGTAATTTTAACAAATCAAAACAATAGGACCTCATGATATCTGAAATCATAAGCCTGTTTTTCCCACCCTTTGCTCATCTGCCCATCAACAGAAAGTTCATGGAGAAAAAGTATTTTCTTTGATAGATGTTTAGCCTTAGCTATTTTATGATTTATGACAAAACAGACTCAGAACAGAACTGCACATAAAACAGTTCCAGAGTTCTAAGCTGCTCTGTCAACCATCTACCCTTCTTGGGCCTATCCCAACACTGTTGCTTACAAAATGAGTGACTAATAAAAACCTAAGAAAATGTGCTTTTAATTCAGCACATTGATGAAACTATGCAGGAAACTTCATAGAGAAAACGCAACATAAAAAGTGAGCTGTTATATAGCAATAGCAATAGCACTTAGACTTATATACCTTTTCGTAATGCATCACAGCCCTCTCTAAGCAGTTTGTATTTTCAAACAAGCATACTTTTAAATCATTTGCATTTTTTCCCCAAAAGCCATTAATGGATTTCCCCCCCCTATGAGTTAGAAAGCATGGAATGTTTCAGCGTACACTGGAATACTTTCAGAAATGACAAAAATTGTTTCGACCAATGTTAACGTTTTCCCAGCTCTTAGAAATTAATACCAGTGTCTACAAAAATCGAAGTCATCAAATAAGTAGAAATATTTAGTTATAAGAATGGATGTAGATCAGAAACCAATGGAAAACATGTCATGACAGATAATAAAATGAGGAATGAAATTTCAAGTTTCAGAGGGATCAAGACCAAGAAGTGTAAAAAAAAATTGATAGGTCTCCTGGTTTAAACACCAAAGAAATTATACTCCTGAACTTGTAGCAGAAAAAAACACTCCTCCCCCCCCCCGGATATGATATCAAACAACAAAATACTTACAATTAAGGTATTCTGCTACCTTTGTGTGCTGCTCCAAATTGTTAAAATTATTTTACACTGCAGCAGCCTATGAAAATTTTCTTGCCTGCTTTTAAAATTAAAGATGCAACCACATTTCACTTTACTGATCCAATAACCATGGATCCTGATATTCCTTTTCTAAATAGACAAAATTACACAGAATATACTTTCAAAGCCATTTTTAGCAATTTTAAAGTTTTTTTAAAAAAAAGAAACCTTGTTTATTTTGTTTGAAGTTTCAGGGTCTGCTTTTTTTTTTTACATTGCAGATAAAATTTTATTTTTTAAGAAAAGTTTATGATAAAATTTGATAAAATTCGTTAGTCTGAATACGCTACCAGACTCTTACTGATTCTCAATTGCTTGCAAAACATAAGATCCAGCTTCATACATATTCACATTCCATATGGGCATTAGAATTAATTTTGTTTCATTTACGTGAAAAAGTCCATATGCTGGATTTGTAACTTATAATAATAATAAAGTTGGAACGGACCTATACCATTTCAGACAAATGGCTGTCCAGTCTCTTCTTAAAAATGTCCAGTGTTGGAGCATTCATCACTTCTGGAGGCAGGTTGTTCCACTGGTTAATTGTTCTAACTGTCAGGAAGTTTCTTCTTAGTTCTAGATTGCTTCTCTCCTTAGTTAGTTTCCACTTGTTTTGTTAAAAAATATGATTCATTAGATTCATGAGGCAGGTTTTCACTAAGACCACCAGCTGGATTATTGAGGATCCTTAATTTTATTCCCATGCTAATCAACCTTTGAATTAGGCCAGGTTGAAAAAGAAAGACTGGCATCAAATCACTCAGTGAGAGTGGAAGTCAACCTACGTTTCCTCTGTTTTAACCCTTCACACTGATGGGTTAACTGATGCATCACACTGGCTTATTACAAGATTCTTCCCCTGCCTTTAATCATTTTAGGCTTTGTGTGAAATGGATTTTAGAGGAGGGGGATGGACAGTGATTCAGAAGAGAACTGAAGGAACAGTTGAGTTTCAAAGGACATGGTCGGAATATTTGGATGGATTTGGTGACCTTTCAGGTATCAATTTATTATTCATGCTACACCTCTTCCTAGTTACTCCAATGTACCTCAATGTCCTAATGTGTGGGTCAAAACAGCAGACAATTACAATGAATGTTTGGTTTACAAACATCTGTGGTCTTAGATGTAAAAGATTCACAACCACTTCAACCATCTTCATCTTCAAATGATACTAGAGGAGATACCTTAGGACAGGGTAGTCAACCTTGGCTCTTTATGACTCGTGGACTTCAACTCCCAGAATTCCTGAGCCAGCACAGCTGGCTCAGGAATTCTGGGAGTTGAAGTCCACGAGTCATAAAAGAGCCAAGGTTGACTACCCCTGCCTTAGAATAATCTGAAAGGTCAAGTCAAGTCTGATGAATCCAAATATCAGGTGGGAGAACAAGAACAAGGCGTCCTTTCTTCTAACACTAGAGAGCTGTAAATGGAAAGCTTAAATACTGAGATCCCCTTATGAACTGATGTTAAATGATTTATAATGCTTAGGGGAATCCATGTTTCTGCAAGCCATTATCTCGAGCAAACACTCATCTCATAGTCTGTAATTTCAAGGGCCTTCTCTCTTTAGGGCCTTCTCTCTTTAGGATTGAGCAGTGGAGATACATCTTTGTTTTTTTTAGAGAAGAGACATAACTAGTTAGGCAAAAGATTGTAATCTGGTTCTTATTGGATGAAGAACTGGATATACAAGAAGAGATGCATGGATGGTATCTTGATTAACACAGTATGGGTAGTCCTTGACTTATGGCTATAATTGCCAAGCTCAATTATTGTAGGAGATGACCAGGCTGAGCCCGAGGAAAGGATCAAGCGTGTCATCAGTCTTGAGTCCCTTCACATTCACAAGAGATCTAAATCCAGCCCATCTTGAATTCCATTGACTCTTATCTGCCACCAATTTGCTTTGACCGTTAGCAGTTCAGGTTCTTGTAGAGAGCTTCAGCTTGCAATAACCTGTATTCATTTGAACTAATCTGGCTCCTGATTTCATACGCTTTACAATTGTACTCATAAATCGTGACGGTCATAAATCAGGTCATCACATGATCAGACCCATTTTTACAATCTTTTTTGCAGTGGTAATAATAATAATAATAATAGTAAAGTTGGAAGGCACCTTGGAGGTCATCTAGTCCAACCCCCTGCTCAGGCAGGAAACCCTATACCATTTCGGACAAATGGCTGTCCAGTCTCTTCTTAAAAGCCTCCAGTGTTGGCGCATTCACCGCTTCTGGAGGCAGGTTGTTCGACTGGTTAATTGTTCTAACTGTCAGGAAGTTTCTCCTTAGTTCTAAGTTGCTTCTCTCCTTGATTAGTTTCCACCCATTGCTTCTTGTCCTGCCTTCAGGCGTCTTGGAGAATAGCTTGACTCCCTCTTCTTTGTGGCAGCCCTTGAGATATTGGATGATTAAGCAAATGCCACCATTGTTAAGTGAACTCTTTGTTTGTTATGGACTCCCCCGCCCCAGAAACTGTAAACAACATTTTCTGACAAAAACATCAAAAATTGCAGTCACATGGCAGTAAATGTGGGCTGGTTGCTGAGCACCCAAAATGCGGTCATGTGACCTGTGTGGGGGTGATGTGATTTTGAAACTGGGTCATAAGTAGGTTTGGGGTGGGTTTCATTGGAATCTTGAATGCTCTCTAAGAGACTGGTAATAAGGTGAGGACTACATGTATGCAACTTGATGATGCTGAACAGGACATTGAATGAGGGAAAACGGGGGGGGGGGGGGAAGGAGCTGAAAAATGGCAATTGGCCACACAGATAAAGAAGAATTTCTCCATGTTTCCCACCAGGATCATATTTGGCCATTCTGCTTCTATTAATCTTTGCAAAAGGATGAATCCATCATGATTTGTCCTCATTATAAACAAACGGCATTTTTTAAAAAAGTCTATTTCTGAAAGTTTGCATGCAAACACCTGTAATTGTATAATTTTAATGAAAAACTTACATCAGAAGGATTTGCAATAAAAAAAAAATCCTGCATAAGTAAACATTTTGTGTCAAAGCATTGAAAATTATTGGCTAATAATAACATGCCAACCTTATTTATACTTAGCTATCTTGATACTTATTTATTTTTATTTTTGGGAAAATGCCATGCCAGAACTGTTGCTGTATTAATGTGTTACTAAATGTATAAACCAGGGGTAGTCAACCTTGGCTCTTTTATGACTCGTGGACTTCAACTCCCAGAATTCCTGAGCCAGCTGTGCTGAGCCAGCTGTGCTGGCTCAGGAATTCTGGGAGTTGAAGTCCACGAGTCATAAAAGAGCCAAGGTTGACTACCCCTGGTTTATACATTTAGTAACACATTCCTCCCTCCCTTGGACTTTAGAGAAGAAGCCAGCCCAATGTACCTAGTAATTTTTTCTCAGCTCCCCAGATCTCCCAATTCTGATGACAATTGAGTGATGGGCAAGTTGATGTTCTGCAGACAAACCTTTGAACTTCAGATCCTTAGAATGAGCCAGGATAAGGATTTTTAAAGTCTATATTTTGTTTTTTTTTTAATAGGGGAATTTTGGCTTGGCCTCCGAAAGATTTTCCACACAGCAAACCAGAAAACAACCAGTTTCATGCTTTATATAGACTTGGAGTCTGAAGATGACATGTATGGGTACGCATCGTATGACAGCTTTTGGCTAGAGGATGAAATGTGCTCCTTTAAAATACATCTAGGACGTTATTCTGGAAATGCTGGTAAGATTTGGATGCCCAAACAGTTGTTTTTTCAGAGCAAGTTTCTATACACGGGAAAATAGGGCAATGAATAATGTCTGTAGTTGCACTGGATATTCTAAAACCAAATTACAAAGAAAGAATACACCTTGGGTCCTTTTAACCCAACTCTTTATGTTACATTGGCCAAGTGGCATCTAGTTTTATGCTCTTTGATAAAAAAAGTCCATGGGCCATTCCCAGAATAAATTATTCTGTCAGCTATAAGTAAATGGCTAAAATTAAATCAAGTTGCTGTCATTGGAGAAAGTGGGATTTGGCCCTTGATTCCCTGCTGCAATCTGTAAAATTGTTCATATTCCAATTATTTTTTGTTTTATTTATTTTTGTTGGTACTTTCAAGTCACTCTTGATTCCTGGTGACTGCCTGGAATAGTCCCTGCAGTTTTCTTGGTAAGATTTTGGGATGTGGTTTGCCATTACCTGCTTTCTAGGACTAAGAGAGAGTGACTGGCCCACGGTTACTATCTGGCTTTATGTCCAAGATGGGACTAGAATTCACAAATCTCCCAGTTTCTAGCCTGATGGCTTAACCACTACACCAAACTGATTCCAACTCAATCTTAACATTGTGGATTTTTTCCCCCCAAATGCAAATTGTAAATTCATTGTCTGGATTAAAATGATATAACTAATATATTAGTATCCCAGAGTTCAAAAACGATAACCTTCATAGTTTGCTGGAGTGATGGTAGGAGAGGTAAGTTAAAATGTATTCCCAGTCATTCTTTGGGAGTCTGTTTAAATTATTATTATTAGAGGTTGCTGAAGGAAAAGTCTTCATCATGGTTCAGTCCAAGCTGGGAATAAACAACATGGTGACTGCTTTAGAAAGAAGGTTGCAGTTTATTGAAGAGGAGAGCCAGACAGAAAGATGGCCGTGGAAGAAAAGAGAGCAAGCACATGTAGGGAGTAGGTTTTTATACCCTCTGGAGCCTTTTGTTTGGAGTTGTTTCCTGTTCCTGTTTGAGGCTTTGTATTTCCTGTGCCATGTATTCTGACCTGAGTCTGGGTGTGCCCTTTGGCATCTGTGGGTTAATCCTAATGTCCTGTCTTAGAGTTTGGGTGGGATATGTAGATTTTAGGTGTCTTTGTCTTCTTAATCTTCTAGTGGGAGCCTCCAACCTTCCTGGATGGTTTACATCTGCATTTCTATAGAGCTGATTTCTGCTTGGGGGAGGGAGACTTAGGACTATAAAGAAAACTGGGCATGCTTTTCTGCCTCTTTAGGATTCTTTGAGGAAATATATTTTTCTGCCCTTTTAATATTTCCTTCTCTGGGGGGCTGACTTCCCATAAGGTAATCCTCATTTAGCAACTGTCCCACTCATTTAGCCACTCACAATTATGATAGTGATGAAAAAGTAATTTTGCGACCGATCCTTGCACTTACAACCTTTGCAGGTCTCTAAGGGAAAGGAAAGCTGAAGCAAGATCATAAGCGCAGTTGCAGTTTCACTTAGTGACCATTTCACTTGCTGGTCCCTTTGCTGGTCCCTTTGTATTTATTAAATGAGACTATCTGTAAATTAAATTTATATGCCACCTGATTCCTCCCAGTTTCTCTGGGAGGTTTATAAATTGTTAAAACTTTTAAAAGCAAAAAAAAAAAAAAGATACCAGTCCAAAACAAAACAAAAGGAGCAAAGTTGGCAGAGATAACAAGAAAAGAGATTTCAATCATGCTCATGAAAGGCCTGGGCAAAGAGCCAGGTCTTCAAGGACTTTCGAAGGCCCAGTACGATTTGGGGGGGGGGTTCTTCAAACCTCAGGGGGAGGAAACTCATTCCAGAGGGCAGGACCTGCTATAGAGAAAGTTTCTGGGGTTCTGATGTTATTGTTTAATTGAAGGAAGCCAGAGTACACAAACCCTGCCAGACTAGATTGGCCAGGCAGATATTATACTAGGTGGTCCCTCAAGCCCTCTATGCCAGGGGTCCCCAACCCCCAGTCCATGGAACAGTACCAGGCCGCGGAATGCCAGCAACTGGGCCACACAAACAAGCAAAGCCCCATCCACGAGATGCAGGCAGCACATAAAACCACGCACCCTCCGGTCCGCGGAAAAATCTCTCTCCATGGAACCGTCCCTGGCGCCCCAAAAATTGGGGACCTCTGCTCTATGCCCTCTTTAGAGGTAATGAACAACATCTTGAATTGCACCCAGAAGCAACCAGTGCAGTTTGCAAAGCAGAAGTGTTATATGGATATCCCCAGGCATGCTCATCACTGCCCATGCCCATGCTGCATTCTGGACCAGTTGAAACTTCCAGTGGTCTTCAAAGGCAGTGCATTATACATTATATGTATGTGGTGCCTGTGTGTGTGTGTGTGTGCGTTGATGAGAGAGAGGGAGGGAGGGAGGGAGGGAGAGAGAGAGAGAGAGAGAGAGAGAGAGAGAGAGAGAGAGAGAGAGAGAGAGAGAGAGAGCATCCAATCTCCCCCAAATTTGCCTGCACTTGGTTTACTTTCTGTTGTCAAGAAATGTCTCCAACTTGCACCTAATATGGCACAATATGTCCTGGCAGTATTTTACTTTCTTCCTTCATCTTGTGCACAGCCTATAGAGAAGCAGCCTAATATCTTTAGCTGCACAAGTGTTCAAGGAAAGAATGAGGATGTGTAAATCTGGTTTTCTCATCAATTCCCTTGAAGAGAAACCAAGTCCCTTGATGGCCAGACAACTGGGAAGAGAGAAAATAGAGCCAGGATAGGATTTGGCAACGAGGACAACACGTTTCATGCTGGTAGCTTTCTGCTGACTCAAGGATTGTGGGATAATGCTCTCTATTATTGGCAAGCAATGAGGAAAGAGCCCTCGATTGCCTGACTTCTGAGTTGTTCCTGCTGTTTATTTGTAACAGCAATTAACAGAGACTCTTTTCATTTCTCTGAGTGTTTGATTTGCAGATGATTACGACTCTCGTTAATTCCAAATACTTGTGAAGAAGTAAATTGGAATGATCTCAACCATGTTCCCTCCTTTTTTCTTTTTCTTTTTCTTTTTTGTTCCTGCTTAGGTGATGCATTTCGAGGATATAGAAAAGAAGATAACCAGGATACATCTCCTTTCAGTACCTTTGATGTGGATAACGATGGTTGCAATCCAGCCTGCTCTCTCCAAGAACCACCTGTCAAGAGCTGCAGTAACTTTAGTGAGAAAACAGGCTGGTGGTTTAACCAATGCGGTCTTGCAAATCTTAATGGTGTCCACCGGTTCACAAGGAAGTTGCTGGTATCGGGTATCCAGTGGGACACCTGGAAGATCGATAACAAGCCAGTTAAAATTAAATCCGTGTCAATGAAGATCAGAAGAACATACTTCAGATAACAGGAAAATATCATTACAATCCAGAAATTAGGCTGTCTAATAGCTCTTCTTGGTCTAATATGCGTTAACATTTTAGTATAGCAATTTATTGAAAGGTTGGAGGCACTATGCACATTGCATTATTTTGCAATTACATCCTTCAGGACAATGTAATTACATTTCCACCATAAATGCATTTGTGATATTTTGCTGCCCTGCTGAATGCGTCCATGACTTACTGTATTAACATGCCATTACTGGATTGGAAAGCTATAAGCACGATAATTCTAATTCCATTCCTTTGCTACTGCTGATAATCTCTTCTTTTCCTTTAGCAGAATTGGAGACCTGCAAATTTAAAATACCAGCGTTAATTTAAGAGAAGGGCTATGCAAGGATTATAATTGCACAAGCGATTGTAGTAAATCAGTGAAGGTAGTAAACAATATGGATATGCTTTTTAGTTTTTAGTGAATGATGAAAACAAGCGAATAATCCTCAGTGTGGTTAAATATCTGGCTGTGCAAAAATAACACTCAGACTGTGGTTAATTTTTTTTTTTTTGAGAAAAGAGAAGGTAGTCCTCCTTTAGTAACCGTTCATAGTTATGACAGTGATGAACAAATAATTTTGGGACTGACCCTTGCATTTATGGCCTTTGCAGGTCTGTAAAGCAAAGGAAAGTTGAAGTAAGATCATAAGCAAAGTTGTGGGTTCACTTAGTGACCACTTTGCTTAACAAGCAAATTGCTGGTCCCAGCTGGGGTCATTAAATGAAAACTACTGGGAAAAGGCCTTCTATCTGATTTGAGGCTGCTTATTTGAAAAAATATATAGCTTCTTTGCAGTGCAGGTAGCCCTCGATTAATGCTCTGTTTACCTCGTTAATATCTGGAATGTGTTCTGTTTTCTTTAACAAATGTTTTCTTACAGCCTTTTAAAATAAACACTATCACTTGGAATTTCTGTCATGTGGCACTGTTAAGAGAAAAAAGCACAGCTGTGATCATATTACAATCCTATGGTTAACAATCATGACTTACTGAAACCGGTTGCCTGAGTATGTACACTAGACTCTACCCTAAAATAACTACCAGGACTGGATTCATGCAGCATACCTGGCTTCAGGTGGAGTGAAGAATGGGTATAAAAAAATGTCTACAGTATCTGCTTTCTAATATGCTATTCAGAATTTTTCAACTTGTTGCAGAAATAAGAACTCTCAGAATTCCCCCAAATCATTGGCTGGGATTCTGGAGTTCTTTTATCAGAACATTTGGAGAGGTTATGTTAGAGGCAGTTGTTGCAACATAATGGACATTTTTTTATTTCCCTATTTGGTCCCTTTTCTCCGTGCTAATTTTAATTGTAATGAAAGCTATTATTTAAAATGATTCTTAGTATTACTGAGCAGCTGAGAAAAAGATGTTTTCTGCATTAAGTGGGGAAATCATACAGCCAGGCTCTAACTGACGTGGCAGCAGATGCAGACTGCTTTAAACATCTGGACAGAACTGAGCAATTTGGTCCAAGAATTGTGCTTTTTGTCTGAAAAACTTCTGGTTTGAGTTGCATAACCTCTGAAATCTACTTTGATGACAAATCTCTCTGTGTTTCTAAATGAAGTTAGCAGTAAAGTGCATTTATTTACATATTGCTGATTGTTCCTGGATCTGCAAAGTTCCTCACTGAGAAGCACATATTTAGTGCAGGGGACTGGAATAATGCAGAGAGTGGTTTCAAAAGACTGAGAGGCAGTTTGCAGCATTCTTTGAGAAATTAAGGGAGATACCCTTATAAGTGTCTGAAAGTAGTGGTCAAGGTATTGACTTAGAAACCAGGTGACTGTGAGTTCTAGTCCCACCTTAGACCCAAAGCCAGCTGGGTGACTTTGGGCCAGTCACTTTCTCTCAGTACAACTCACCTTACAAGGGTTTTGCTGCAGGGAAGTGTGAGGAAAAGAGAAAGAGAAAGGAGTATTAGGTATGTTGGTCACCATAGGCTTGAGCTTTGCATTCACTAGCTGCCAATCTGTCATGAACTATGGGCGGGGGGGGGGGGGGGGGGGGGGGGGGGGGGGGGGGGGGGGGAGGGAGCAGGTCAGGAGGGGGGAAGGCTAACTATTCATTGTGCCTTCCAGAGACACCGTCTCAAGGTCAAAGTGCTGGGAATGGAATGCAATGGCTCACCAACCAGCCGGCTGTTGAAGAGACAGTTCCCAAAACAATGTATTCAAATATTATTGGACAATAAGGGGCTAGCAAAGGGGAGGAATTGGGGAGGAACCGAATGGGGAAAGTTAACCAAGAAAGTTTGGTGCGTGAACTTCAGTTCTGGCTTTGCTATACTGTAAACCACTTAGCTTTTAGTAAAGTATATCTTTCACTACCAATGGAGTAAAGGGTCTTTCTTGCCTAAAAAACTAATTGGGACAGGTCTGACACCTTGAATTGTTTATACAGTGGTACCTTGGTACTCAACTGCTTTGAAATGCATCGAATTTGGTACTCAAGTTATTTTGATATGAAAATTTTGTCCTGGTACTCATCGTTTGTTTGGTACTCAATGCACAAGCTAGAACTTGTCGGTGTCAGCTGCCTTGTGACTCACTCACATTTTTCCTTATGGGGAAAAAATTGTGTGGTTCTCATCATTTTTGGTATACATTGTGCTTTACTATAAATTACTGTAAAGAAATAAAGGTAGGATAAAAAAAAATTAAAAGAAAGTTGTAGTTAGTGCAAAATGTACTAGGTAAGCTGTTAACTCAAGAAGATATGGAAATACAGATGTTGTGTGCCATCAGTGGTAAAGGATTTGCACTGGTTGAACAGTCTCTCTGCAAACAAGTATTCTGGTGTCAGTGTTAAGTTTGATGATCTAAAAAGCTACAGCCTAACTACTTGAGGAATTGCCCCTTTCACTGCAAATATGACCAGATTTTAAGAATTACAGGAGAAGATCTTCTGCAGAACTGGCTCCACTACAGGCCTATTTATTTTGTGTGGGGGAAAAAATAGGCTTTCCAGCATCCTACTTCCCCCCGCCCCATTCATAGAATTCATTTTACTCCCTGTTGATATTTATTTATTTACCTATATTAAGAATTTTATATGTAAATCAATCAATCAATCTAAAAAATAAATAACATAAAAATATAAAAAATAAAACAAAACTAAAAAAAGGAATGAAAGAAAAAAAAGGAAAACATTCAAGAAAAGAAAAAGAAAAAGAAAAGGAGGAAACTAAATTGATGAAATACAATGACTTCCAACCTTCTCTTCAACAGATAATTTACATGCTTAGAATCTTTTCCTCTTAGATGTTATCCTTTCAGCCCTTCACTTATTCCATGTCTATTTTACTCCCCATTGGCTTAATCTTTAGAGGAGCAAGCAAAACACATCTGTTTTATCCGTAAATTAAATTGAATTTTCAGAGATGGCATTTCTATTTGTCTTTTGAAGTCTGCTTTTCAGCTTTTCTCAACAGATTTGGGAAGGGTCTTGGGAGGCAGGATTTAAATCAAATCAGTTCATTAAATACACACAGATTGTATGCAGTGGATGGAAAGGCTAACATGGAAAGGTGCTCAAAGAAATATCTAGCAGAAGTGTCTCAAGAGCATGAGTGAAGCTAAAGCAGTGTTTTTCAAGCATGGTAACTTTAAGGCAGGGGTGTGGAACGATGGCCCCTTTACGACCTGTGGACTTCGACTCCCAGAATTCCTGAGCCAGCATGGCTGGCTCAGGAATTCTGGGAGTCGAAGTCCACAGGTCGTAAAGGGGCCATCGTTCCACACTCCTGCTTTAAAGTGTGTGAACATCAACTCCCAGAATTCCTCAGCCAGCATACCGGCTGCAGAATTCTGGGGTTAAAGCCCACACATCTTACAGTTGTCAAATTTGAAAAACGGGGGTAAAACAATGAAGGGCTGCTGTTACTGAGCCAGAGGAAAGATGCACCATAAAGATTCAGGAACATAAGTGAAGGTCTACACGTTTTCTTAAATTAATTTTGATCTTGCCCCTGCCTCTCTGATTTCCAGCCCTGCTCCTATTTTAGGAGCGTGGCCTCTGATTGAGGTCACCTAATCCTGCATTAGACATTTGAGTTGTACATCAAGATAAATAATGCCTTGCCTGGCAATGCAATTTGGAGAGGTGTTATGGAAGATTTATCTCCCCTATCCTCCCAGTATTTTTCAGATCTTGAATTTTGTTGAGCGTTCTAGTTTAGTAAGAATTAAAAATATTGTAAATGTAATTTCATAAGACATTGGCCTCTTCAGATGTTTGTTTGTTTGTTGGCTGCCCATCTTACCACAGGATAGCTGTCAGCGGCGTACAATTCATAACAGATAAATATATAGATACTAAAAACAAATACATTAATACTAGCCAAACACTATGATCCAATTAAAGATGGGGAGAGTGGGAGCAGATGGCCAAGAGATGGGATCTGTTTCTAATCTATTAATCACCTCCACTGTGATGTTCCCCCCCTGGAACCCCAAACTAACTGGAAGAATCAGGTCTTTGGGCTCTTACAGAAGATCGGGAGGTTTGGAGCCGGCCTTAATCTGTGGGGAAAGATATTCGAGAGGGCAAGACATTTGGTCTGTAGTATAAGGCCTATCTATTCAGCCAGTGGCAGATATTTTCTTTAGCCTACATTCACACTGCAGTAAAACAATATTTTAGCTTTAAATTATTATGGCTGTGGAGTATGTAACCTGAAGCCTCACGCACATTATTTCCAGGAATATACAGCTCATTGAATAGTATCTGGATTGGCAGTGAATAATCACTCCAGTTGAACTACTGAATCAGCAGGTGGCAGTACAAGGAAAGAAACGGAGTTATATTTTCTTGCATTTATTGTGACTACTGGACAAAATTATTCTTTTTCCTCTCTTTTCTCCCTCTTCCTTCCTCTCTCTGTTACACATAGATGAATTCAAATGAAAAATTAATTTGGGAAAGGGAGGGAACAGCATAATCTCTTACATTTATAGAAATGTTGTCTGACATTTAAAAAGCTATACAAATTCATTATACCGTAGGTAGTCCTCAACTTATAACCATTCATTTAGTGACCATTCAAAGTTATAACAGCACCGAAAAAAACTGACTTATGACAGTTTTCACTCTTAAAACCATTGCAGCATCCCCATGATCACGTGATCAAAATTTGGACGCTTGGCAACCGGCAAGTATTTATGATGGTTGCAGTGTCCCAGGGTCACGTGACCACCTTTTGTGACCTGCTGACAAGCAAAGTCAATGGGGAAGCCAGATTCACTTAGCAACTGTGTTACTAACGTAACAACTGCAGTGATTTATTTTAATAACTGTGGCAAGAAAGGTCGTAAAATAGGGCAAAGCTCACTTAACAACTGTCATTCTGAGCAACAGAAATTTTGGATCAGTTGTGGTCATAAGTCAAGGACTACCTGTACAGTTTTTTTAAAAGATACCTCAACAAACAAAGCAATGTGACTTGCCCTTTTCAAGGTGTCAGGGGTCTTCTGTCCCCCACTTTCTGTTTTTCTCTTACTGGGCCATCAGTATGATGTTCATTAAATATGTTCATTAGTAAGCGTTGGTTGGTTTCATTGTTCTATATCAGTGGTGGCAAACCTATGGCACACATGCCAGAGGTGGCACTCAGAGCCCTCTCTGTGGGCACGTGCGCCATCGCCCCAGACCCGCCTCTCCCCATGGCCCCCTCCTCACCAGCAGCCCCCCTGGAGGAGAGTCGCCCCCGAGCGCAGCCCATGTGGAGCAGCGCAGCCAAGGACATGGCAGTCGAGCAGCGGGCACAAGACTTCGCCTTCGCACCCATTGCGTGCAGTTGATGCTGTGGGGCGTGGGCGGAGGGCGTGGCTGCCATGGTGCTGCTGGGCCACCTGGGTGATCTGCGGTGGGCCGTGGAGGCAGCGGGTGGC